TTAGATGCTGTAAGGAATTTTAAATGATCTATTAATGTATTTACCTGGTTGCTAAAAGTTGCCCTCTATTGTTCCAAAGTGAGTTATGGGGATTTGGGAAGCACTATGAATTGTAACTTCATACCGTTCTTTCTGGTTTATTTCTGTTTTAAAGCAAAGAGCATTTCATTTGGCTGTTTTTGATACCATAAAGTAATAAGTTTAAGACTAAAGAGATGGGCTGCTTTTATATCCTGGAACAAAGGCTTTCTAGAAATTTGCAATTGCTCTTTTCTCACTCAGCTTCCCTTTCTCATTTGCCAGTATCCCCAGCTCCCTCTTACAACTGTTACATTCTCAGCTTCCACTCCCCTGTGATGTGAGGCTCAATCAGGACTGTTTTTATGTCTTCCACTGCTCTGTTAGGTTCTGTCCATGTCACAACATTGTGCCTTCTGAACAAAACCGTTAATGACCTGGCCTCTCTCATGTGTGAGAAAGCATTAAAAAAAAAAAAAAATCCCCACAAACTAAAAAAGATATGTAATATCAGGTGCCACTAAAACAAACAAGCAAGCAAAACAAAAAACTAGGGATGCCTGGGTGGCTCAGTCGGTTATGTGTCTGCCTTCTGCTCAGGTCATGATCCCAGGGTCCTGGGATAGAGCCCCGCCTGGGGCTCCCTGCTCAGCAGGGAGTCTGCTTCTCCCTCTCCCTCTGCCCCTCAGCTGCTCATGCTCGTTCGCTCTCTCTCTCAAATAAATATAAAATCTTAAACTAAAGGGTAGGAGTACAGAGAGTGACAAGAGTAGTCAAGGAAGGCTTCCTAGCGGAGGTGGCATTTGAGCAGAGACCTGCGCAAAGTGAGGGAGTTGCCAGGCCATATTGAAGGAAAGAGTGTTCCAGGTAGAAGTAATAGTAAGGGCACAGGTTTGAGAAAAGTGTGTGGTTTTAGCAGAAGATTGGGATCTGGCTTCAACACCTCCATGTGATAGTGTCCTTGAGGGTTAGCATGAGATGGAGGTGAGCATGCTCAAGATGTAGCAGAGAACTGGGAGCAGTGAGGTGGCAGAGCCCATTGTAAGAGCATCTCTGCCTGAGATAAAAAAAAAAAAAAAAAACTATGGAGGATTAAAATCCAGAAAGCTCTGTTTTCTTTCCTGAAAAGTTAAAATTGTTGATGGCCTAAAATTAACCACATGGCATCACCGAATTGTCATTTAAAAATAACATGTAGTAGAGGACTGAATCCATTGTGAGAAGATGAAAAGTTGATCAAATTTGCTAGTAGTCAAGGAAATGGAAACAATGAGAGAGCATGATATTTCATTTTAGCCTGATTGGGACTTAAAAAAAAAAAATGACATTGTTGACACACAGGGTTACAGTAGTTTCAGGTGTATGACCTAGTGATTTGACAACTCTACATTATGCTATGCTCACAAGTGCAGCTACCATTTGTCCCTATACAACACTATTACAACATCATTAACTATATTCCCTATGTGGTTTCTTTTATCTCTGTGACTTTTTCATTCCATAACTGGAAGCATATACCTCCCACTCCCCTTCATCCATTTTGCCCATTCCCCCATCCTCCCCCGCTCTGGCAACCACCAATTTGTTCTCTGTATTATTGGTCTGTTTCTAATTTCTGTTTATTTTGTTTTTTAGATTTCATGTATAAGTGATACCCTATGATATTTGTCTTTCTCTGACTTAGTTCACTTAGCATAATACCCTCTAGGTCCATCCCTATTCTTGCAAATGGCAAGATCTCATTTTTTTTTTATAGATAAGTAATATTCCATCGTACATGTATATATACCACACCTTCTTTATTCATTCATCTGTTGATGGATAGGAGTTGCTTCCATATCTTGGCTGTTGTAAATAATGCTACAATAAACATAGGGGTGCACATGTCTCTTTGAATTAGTGTTTCCCTTTCCTCTGGGTAAATACCCAGTAGTGGAATTACTGGGTTGTATGGTATTTCTATTTTTAATTTTTGAAGAATCTCTGTACTGTTTATCACCATGGTTGCACCAATTTATATTCCCACCAACAGTGTGTGAGGGTTCCTTTTTCTCCCCTCCTCACCAACGCTTGTTATTTTTTGAGTCTGGCCGTTCTGAAGGTATAAGGTGATATCTCATCGTGGTTTTGATTTGCATCTTCCTGATTCGTTGTGTTGAGCATCTTTTCATGTTTTGGCCATTTGTATATATTCTTTGGAAAAATGTCTATTCAGGTCCTCTGTTTAAATCAGATTATTATTATTTGGTGTTGAGTTGTATAAGTTATTTATGTATTTTCAATATTAATCCCTTATTGAATATAACATTTGCAAATATCTTTACCCATTCAGTAGGTCACCTTGTTGTTTTGTTGATAATTTCGTCTCTTTTTTTTTTTTTAAGTTTTTATTTATTTTTTAGAGAGCGAGCGAGAGAGAAACAGAATGAGAGGGGAGAGGGTAAGAGGGAGAAGCAGGCTCCCCGCCGAGCAGGGAGCCCGATGCGGGACTCGATCCAGGGACTCCAGGATCATGACCTGAGCCGAAAGCAGTCGCTTAACCAACTGAGCCACCCAGGCGCCCCGATAATTTCGTCTCTTTGCAAAAGCTTTTTATTTTGGTATAGTCTCAATAGTTTAATTTTGCTTTTGTTTCCCTTGCCTTGGGAGACCTATCTAGAAAAATGTTTCTAAGGCCAATGCAAGGAAATTACTGCCTATTTTTTAGGAGTTTCATGGTTTCAGGTTTCACATCTAGGTCTTTAATCTCTTTTGAGTTTTATTTTGTGTATGGTGTAAAATGAACTCAAGTTTCCTTCTTTCCTTCCTGTCCAGTTTTCCCGAATACCATATACTGAAGGGACTGTCTTTTGCGCATTGTATCTTCTTGCCTCCTTTGTCATGATTAATTGGTCATTTAAGTGTGGGTTTATTTCTGGGCTCTCTATTCTGTTTCATTGATCTACATATCTGTTTTTGTGCCAGTACCATATTATTTTGATTACTACAGCTTTGTAGTATATCTTGAAACCTGGAATTGTGATACCTCCAACTTTGTTCTTCTTTCTCAAGATTGCTTGGGCTATTTGGGGTCTTTTGTGGTTCCATACAAATTTTAGGATTATTTGTTCTAGTTCTGTGGAAGATGCTGTCAGTATTTTGATAGAGATTGCATGCAATCTGTAGATTGCTTTGAGTAGTATGGACATTTTATCAATATTAATTTTTCCAACCCATGATTATTGAATATCTATTTGTATCATCTTCAGTTTCTTTTATCAATGTTTTCTGGCTTTCAGAACGTAGGTCTTTTCACTTCCTTGGTTTATTTTTAGGTATTTTATTCTTTGTGGTGAAATTATAAATGGAATTATTTTCTTAATTTCTCTATTTTGTATATAGAAACATAACTGATTTCTGTATATTTTGTATCCTGCAACTTCACTGAATTCATTTATTATTTCTAATAGTTTTTTGGTGGAGTCTTTAGTGTTTTCTATGGGATTGGGACTTTTCAAAACTCAAATTGTGACCCAAAAGCTGTGGGATTTGCCTTCGGTGTTGCTGAGGTTTGGGAGAAGGGCAAAGGCCATTTTACTTGTTTGAAAACAGCAATACACAAGAAAGGAAACAATTTTCTGGTGTATCTACTAAATTCAGCCCATTTTTCTCTTTTCCTCTCTCGCTTCCCTGTCCCCAGCATGTTTGTAAGGTCATATGATCAAGGAGAAAAATATGGCAGGGCACACATCAGATTGTTAAATTGAGCTGCCTTGGCAGGGAGATGCTATGGAGTAAGGTAGAGAGGGAAAAGGGAAGTCATCTGAAAAAACAAAAAACAAACCCCTGAAATATTAGAAAGCATGACTGCATTTAAACATTTTGTATGTATCTCCTTTCTTTTGAGACTAATTGACGCTGATGAGAACTGTACATTGAAGTATGTGTTGGCTTTTCTTTGAAATATGTTCAGAGTTTCATGACAGAAATCACTAGATACTCAGAAGAAGCAAATCTAGAATATAGACCGGTCATGTCCCTATTTGTGTTTGCAGGACATAAATTAGAGTTGTAAAATAAAAACTGAAGTTAGTAATTTGACTATGAATATCTACATATATATACATATATATGGAATAATTTGGGTGATACATTTAAACATTTTTTTCATCTAGATTCAGTTGTAATGAACAATATGGAATGGATTTTTTTGTCCAGCATTTGTGGCTAGCTGCATGTTTTGAAGGGTTCATACACTGTTTAAAGGGTTCCCTGCTTAGTTATATTTCAGCAAACAACTATTTCAGAAAATGTTCTAACTCCAAGCTACACTGGCAGTAACTTATCTAATTTGTGTATCCCTTTCAGAGTTTGTGAATGTGTGCATCTTAATTTAGGGGAATTGAGGGAATCTTAATTTCTTAAGTGTGAGCTCCTACCTTGTTTTTTCGGTTTGGTCTTTTATTGGTAGGCACAGGGAGAAGGGACAGGGAGAGGCCTGCCCCCTGACTGAGGGGGCAAGAAGGGCTCTGTTCCAGAGTGTCTAACTATCCTCTGCTGGTGCTCTCTTTTGACTGGAAACTAAGAGGTCATTTGTCCATAATGATTAATGTGGTGGCCTCAGCAGAGTTTTTTTTTTTTTTTTTTTTTAAAGATTTTTATTTATTTATTTATTTGACGGAGAGAGAGCACAAGTTGGCAGAGTGAGAAGCAGGCTCTCCGCTGAGCAGGGAGCCCGATGCAGGACTCAATCCCAGGACCCTGGGATCATGACCTGAGCTGACGGCAGATGCTTAACTGACTGAGCCACCCAGGCGCCCCTCAGCAGACTTTTAAAGTTAAGGTTTGCATCTTTCGAAATTTCTCAATTGGAGTTGTTTTTGTTTTTAAAGGCTCAGGAACAGGCAATAGAGTAGTAAAAGTGTTTGGATATTCACTGAAATAATTTTTTTTAAACCCATGTATGAACAGCAAATGATGCAAATTAAAAAAGTACACATGAGTAGAATGAAAATGATTTCCATGTTTATGTTTGTCAGCAACATAGTTATTTACAAATAACCCATATGAAAATGTAAAAAAGCATATTACATCTTCACATGCCATCTGTATTAACTGAATAAAGCTTAGTGACATTATTTTCAAATCTGTAGTTAATTGTACATAGACATTTTGTGCGTTAAAAAAGAAATGTACATAATTTAAAATAAATTACATTACACAATTTACAAAGTAATATTAACAAAAACTTCTTAGACATCTGCCTCCTTAAATCAAATAAATATTCAGGTAATTAACAAAAAACACATTTAGGGGATTATAATTTATATAAAGACATATTGCAAATTTAATAAAGTTATATTTTACAATGACCGATACTGATCTCTTCAAATCTCTGTGCTACAAATAGGCAGGGAAAGTACCAGAAAGGGGATCTTAATGTTTACTTTTTAAAAATAAACATAAATAGATTGCAAAAAATAGTTGTGAAAATTTCATCGAGGGTTCAAAGTAGATGATCTAGAAACTATTGCTTTAAAAAAAAATCTACAAAACACAATAAGACTGACAGTTATATTCTAACTAGACTAGAGATTTTGATCGCTGAAAACATGACTGCCACGAACTAAAAGTCTTCATATACTGCCCGTTTTAGGATCTGGCTTGGTAGAAGCATGAAAACCTAAAACTACAAAGTTAATTCTATCCACTTAGCATTTGTTTTACTCATTTAATAACGTAGACGTAACCATTTTCAGTTTTCCTGCTGATACAGAATTACTGTAATCACACTGCAAAACATCCTTTTTATAGAGTCCTGTTTGCTAGGCCCCCACTCCAGTTTCAGACCCCGAAATCCTCTTCTGCAGTCCGGCCACCTGAAGATAGGACCAGGTGGGACGGGCAGGTGTGTTTTGTTCTCACATCTAAACTAGACCCAGGAAAACTCACTTTCTGACAAGATGCTTCACAGATTCTTTCCTATACTGCTCTCCTTTCAACACCCTCAGTCTTAGTGGGGAAAATATAACACGAAACACATTTGAATTTGGTAATATTTTTACAAATAGGTCTCAGATCATTTTGGAGGCATGATTCTTGAAAATCTATTCAAACTCCAAATAAGCCCAGGAATGGGCTCTCCTTTCTGTAAGATACAGGCTTGCCTTACTGTCTTGTAGGGTGGGTCATGAACACAGAGGCAAGGTAGAGGTAGGAGCATGCTCGTTGTACTAAATAGAGTATAAAAATGGACATATTTACAGAAAGCCTTTTTTTTGAGGGGGCATATCTTCTACATCTTTCCTTATCTTTTTACTCCTGTCTTTGACCAGTACACTTTGTTTAAATCAAGATGTTCACATGCTTAGTGACACTTTGACCCTAATAGGTAGGGCATAGAGACCTTCACCTTCATTTTTTTCCCCCCTTATTTAAAAATTTGAGCATGTTTAGTAGAAGGTAGTTCTGAGAAAAGGAGATAAGATTAGTTGTAAGCAGAGTAGAGAGAGACCAGAAAAAATCATTATAAGGAGCAAAGGTATAGGGATTTTGGAGGAGGTCAAACAAACAAACAAACAAACTGAGAGGTGTTAATCCCTGTAAGAAGTTCTGGGTAAGTGACTTTATCTTGAAATGCCCAGGAACTTAACAGGGCTCTGGTTCAGCCAAATGAACATTGCCACCTCCCTGAGGGTGGAGGAGGATTACAGCAAAAGCTTAACAGTATGGCCTGAGATGTGGATTTCCAACAGGAAAAATACCACACTGGAAACAAACCGAGAGTCAAGGGTGATTTAAGCACTGTCTTCACTCATGAAACCTTTTCCCTTCTTTTCAGTGTCTTAGATACATAGGTATACAAAAGTCATGACTAACTGTATTACAGTGCCTAGCAGAGTGTCTTACATGTGATGATTCAAGAAATATTTGTCTTGTTATGAGTAATTTGTGCTTTGTTACAAGTAATTAAGAACATGCTTTTATGCACTCCTTTTCAAATTGGCTTTAAGCTACATGGTAGTGTCCTCAAAAAGGCTTTCAAGTAAGAATTACAGTCAGTATCTTAGATTAGGTACTAATAAGCAAATCAACCCCTTTCAAAAGAGCGGTTGTGCCAGTTCTATGTGGTTTGTACTGAAATAGTCCAACAAAATTGTACATGATACTGTGTCATTATTTTTCTTTTCTTTTTTTTAAACCAAGCAGACCTTCAGATTTATAGAGCAGTAGTTCTAAACCTTTTGGGGCTCATGGGCCATTTTGGTAAGGCAAAAGTGTCAAGAGACTAGTTACTACTATATTCCCCTCCTGAATTGTCAGAATGAACAGGAGAAATAAGGTTTTGATGAAATTCCAGTAACATACTTAACTCATTATTGACTCATGCCAGGAACAAAAATAAGGCTATTATCATGTTCTAAACATGAATATAGTAACCTTCATTTGTCCAAAATAGCCAGCTGGCTACGTGCCCTTCCTTCCATCTTTCTAACAAGAGGGCACCCAGTATTAATCCTAATGGTGAACTTCCAATATGTTCCCTAGTTTTAGGTCCCATTGAACCTAGTCTCCTCCGTATATGTAGTGTTGCAAAATATAATTCATTTATGAATAAAATTGTGTATTTTTGTAAAATTTTATAGTTTTGATCAATTCATTAATTCTTAGAGTATGGATTGGATGATACTGATAGGCCTTCTGAATTAAGGACATTTTACAGTATCCTAAGGATAGCTTTTATAGCAACAATATATTATTCAGTAATTTCAAAGTTATTAGGTGTTGCATACATTTTCTAAGGCCGTTAGCTAAATCCTTCAAGTAACTGCAATAGATTCTTTCTCAACCATTTTGGACAAATGGAGTTCATTTTATTCAAAGAGATCAACTTGAGGAATACCTGGAAGACCCCTGAGTACCTAGACTAGCAATCACAGTTTTAGAGCAACGGTATTATTTTTGTTTTCCTCTTCTGTAAGACCGATGCAATGGAATTTGTTTTTATGCTTTGCCTTGTTTAAATCGTTGGTTTAAAGTAAAATTCTCCGCTTTGTGACCACCTGTTTGCTTTGAAATGATTGCTTTGCCTAATACAGTAAATGTTGAGTAAGGAATTAGTGGTTTCCACATTTAATTCATACTGAGACAGGTAGAAATCTGTTCAATTTGGGGGCGAGGACATCCTAATCTGATGTCTTTTGTAATCTTTGCAAATACTCTAAAGAACAGCAGGGAGAGTTCAAACTCTACTTGAAGGTGAAACACCTTCTAGTCTAAACCAGTTGTACGGCAACACAGCTACGTTTAAGATAAAAGAGCTTATTACATTATTTTTAAAAGACCTGAAAACCTAATGTCCTCCCCTCCACCAAAGGTTGTTGCAGTAAATGTTGCCTGAAAAATGGAATCGCTTTTTAATGGCACCTTTTGATTTTTTTTTCTTTTTTCTTTTCATACAGAAGAAGTCTGCCACATTAGATAGTATTTCACTGTGCCATTCCCAGGGCTACGTGTGTGAAAAACAGAACTACTTCCAAAACAGCGATAAACTTTAATGACCGTTTTTCACCTCTGAAGTTAAACGCTGATGGCATTCTAAGGGTAAATGAATGAAAGCAAAAGATGACACAACAGAGAGGTAAGCACTGAAAAAATTTCTAGACCAGTGGTTCACAAACCACAGCCTGCAGATGTGGCCTGCTGATGTCACAAAGAAAAGTTCATTGGAAAACAGCCACGCTCATTCTTCTATGGCCTGTGTCGCGTCTACACCCGCATCCTCACGATGACAGAATGGAGCAGGTGTGACCAGGCCTGGCGGAAAATACCTACTATCCGGCCCTTTACGGAAAACGTTTGCCACCCTTGGTCTAGATATTTAATGAAGCCCTGGGGCAAACTATTTATTCTTTTTTGAACATTTTAGTTTTTGAAATCCTACAAAGCCTGCTTCAAATTTTACCAGTTAGCAAGACAAAACTATGGATGCATTTGATGCAAAACTAGGAAAAACAAATCAGGGAAAAAAAAAATCACAAGATTTTGAGTTCTTTTAGTTACAAAAATTATCAAGACGTTATTTTCTCCATCTGCTCAAAATGAAAAAGATAACCGGCTCCTTTTTTTCTTTTCTTTTCTTTTTTTAACAAAGGTAACAAATATAAAAATCTAGTCGTAAACCGCCTTCAAAGTACAATTAAAAACCAACTAGAGGGATCCATCTTTTGAAGGATTAATGAGTTCGGGATTTGAGCATTTAAATCACCACCATGTTGTCGATTTCACAATGGCTGCAGCAATGAGGAAGAGTGTAGACAGCAGATGTAATAGCTAGTTCCATCCTGTCGCCATCCAAACTGAACTTTATTCTCTTCCGGATGTAAGAACTTGCAAATGGCTCCATGACCGTCTTAGCACAGATGTCTTCATCCCATATGAAAAGAGGCAGTTTCTATGGCAATACTGGTTAAGTGCCTATCATGCTGCACTAATATAGTGCAAAATGTGCCTTCCATATAGCAAAAGAGATGCAGGCTACCAGTTTGAAAATTAGGGAAAGTAGAAACGTATTAACACAAGTAAATTAGTTTTCCTGACAATAACCACTATAAAATACTGAACTTGAGGACTTTTTTTTTTTTTTTCCTAAGATACTAGTACATGTCCAGCATTCGTACTTTGGAGAAAGACAAGAATTAAGTCTTATAAAAGAGTCTTTGCCTCTGAAATGCAGGTTAATGAGAGCTACCATCAACCACCAAGATGCTGAATTTATTCAATGGGTTTCCTGCTCAGCTTAGAGCTTATCTCTTATTCACCATTAAAATTGCTTATTAACAAGTACATAGTCTGACATAGTAATGTGTGTCATTCCATTGAGTATACATGTTGTTATGCTTGACTATAGTATTGTAGAGATCTTGGTATAAACTCCTCATGCTAAAATGTTACTATGGGTTAACACTGCCCAGAGGCTTGCATCAGGTGTCCTAACTGACCAATTCCACAACTGTATTTTAGAGATGAAAGTGAATGGTCAGTTGGTGATTTCAGAAAAGATCACAAAAAACTCTCAGAATGCAGCCTATATTCAACTAAATCTAGAATTCTCAGGGCTGATTTTTTTTTTTAATTTTATGTAAGTGGTACTGTCTTGATCTCTCCAATGGCACTGATTTTCACTCTATGATGCTCTTTTAAAAAGTTATAATGCATTTGAATTCACACAGTATGAAGAGCTTTGTGGCTGCTGGCTGTCTACTGCAAAGTCAGAAAGCTGAAACTGGTTGTTGCCCGGGTAAGTTCTATTTTACATGTCTGCATCTCCATCGTAGGCTAAGGTTAAAGGTTTCAGTCGGTTGTTTTGCCTTCTTTGGGGTTTCTTTGGCTTTTTGCTGTAAATAATAAAAAAAATAATAATTGGAGAAGGAAAATCCATCTTTAATCATAAATTTTACTATCTTAAATGAAAAAATTCAAAATATATTGATAAAGTTGCCTAACTGCCTAATGACCTAATTTCAACCTCAAGTTTGATATTCTGATATCTTTGATTTTCTTATTTAATGCTCTGAATAACCTTGAAATAGAACCCCTCAAATATTTTATTATCCTGTAAGAGAATTACCAAATGAAATTTCTCACTAACAATGGAAATAATACTATAGTATAATCCTTTAGTATTTGACCAGAAATCTTTATAAATACACAATTTATAATACATGTTTAAAAAGATAGTTGAATAAAATTAGGTATCACCATAATATCTTTCTCCAGTCGTAATTCAGTATCAAACTCTGTAGTTCACGATAAGCATACAAAGCAATATTATCTTGTATAACCAAGGGGAACATACTTGAGATGACCTGGAGCAGCTCTGGCTCATCTTCAGATATTAAATGGCTGATTTGGTAGTTTTTAGAATATCTATGACTAAAGCTATTTTTGTTTCTAATTTCAGATGAACACTAAATAAATGTAGAATACTTATTTGATACAAATTGCTGTTTCTGTATTATAGTCAACTGACAGTGTTTTTGCTGAAATTGATCTGTATCCCCTTATATTTTGAAATATTTAATCACTCACCAAGCTAGATAAATCATGGAGACAATAAAGATGAGTAACACAAATGCCCCAGCTGCTACACCGTAAACCCAGGTCTTTAGTCTCCCATCTAAGAAGAATGGATATTAGTTATTAATTTACATTAGTCTGGTGTGTGTGTGTGTATATATATATATATAAATATATATATGACAGTCTTTAACTATGACCAATGACCAGTGACATATGACCAAATCCTTTCAAAACAAAGTGAATTATTGCTTAGGCACAGTTAATGATTAATGCAAAGCTGCTATTATGAGTTAGATGCTGCTTCATTAAAGATAAATTATCAGTGAGAACTAAATGGAAAAATAATTTTTTCAATTCAAATTGCGTTCAGATTTCAGGTTCATATGCCTAAATTTTTGCAGCTGCTTATGTAAATTTTACTTCAAATCCAATATATGCATAATGCTAAATAAACATTTTCTTATTTTTATTCTGAGAATGGCAATTATAAGGAAAGAAGAAAAGTAATGCAATTTCAATAAAGTCCTACAGCTTAGGGTTAATGCAGACAGGTATTTGAACATAAATTTTGTCATTTTAACTTTTTTTTATGATGAATTGAAAGTGAATATGCTTAACATTTTTTGGGGGAATTAATCTTTTATCTAATTTACACTTACACTGTACTTTAAAGCTCAATAGACAATATCCTTTGTAAAAATAGCCAAGTTTGATTATAACATATAAAGAACTTTCTAACTATAAATAACATTTTTCTAACTTTTTATTATATGGAATTAGGCAGGATAGAAACTTTTCTAATTTGGTTTTCTGGTCTCATTTCCTTTGAGCTTCTTAGTTTTCTGTTCACAATAAACTTCAACTAGATGATAGTATTAATAAATTTGCCTAACTTGATCATTACATCAACACGTATTTTCTGTTGCATACATACAATTAAACATATTAGTGCTAAAATTATAGATTGGGCAAATTGACTCCATAGACACTCTGGTTTATTCAATATTTGGAAGGCATCAAAAACAAATCAGTACTGTGAAAGTTTTTCTACTTAGAGCTAGATCAACTTAGGGGTCCATTTGTTGGAACTAAACTGTTAATATTCTAAATATACTTCTTTTCAATTCTAAAGATTTTAAAAATTAGAGACTGGGTTTAAAATCAACCCCTGTTGGGTTCATCTGCCCTGAGAGTTCTTCAACAAATATTCTTGGAGTTTTTCAAAAACCAAGAACAGAGTCTAAATACACTTTTTAAGAACATAAACCTTTTTAATATATTAAAATATTCATTTTAGGGAAGGTATATATATAAAATGACAATGTTCTCTTTTTAAAAACCAGTTTTGATGTGAGAAGTTCTGCTTGGATTCTTAGTCAAGGTCAAGATTGCTAATGGCCATTTGCAGGTCCACTATCTTAAACACCGAGAGAAGAGTTTCCCAGGTTTGCACGGACAAGTCAGCTTTGCAAAATAAATTGTATTTTCAGCTAACAACCTTATGAAGGCAGGGATAATGTGGTTAAATCTCAATATTTGGGTTAAATCATCTAAATACTGAAAATACTTAAAATCCTAATAGTGATTCTCCAGTAAGGGAACGTGTTTTGACTTAAAGCATTAGAAATAGAAATGTGCTGTGCAGACTCCTTCTTTTCTCCTATTTCTAACAACTGTAAAGTAGACTATGTCTGGCTTTGCCTAGAGATTTCCTTTGGTCGTTAACTAGTAATCTCTGTTGGTGTGAGAAAAACCACCATGATCTTAGCTACTTTAAAGCCCTTGCAGCACAATTTTAAACACCAGCTTTAGTTCCAGAAATAAGCATACAGTTTATTCCATCTGGGGAGAGAACATGTGTGGGGTAGGGACAGCATTGTATTAGGCCTTCAAGCTTTTGCCTCTGTTGGCTTCAAGTCCATTACTAGACACATTAAGGATGTCTGCTTAATATGACAAGGGTCTGGTCAGTCTCCAAATTTAAATCATCCCATCTAGACAGGAAGGCTCCATACTTGCCCTTCTGTATCTGGTGCTAGTACAGATTCTTATTATTTGAGTTTATCAAATCTAGGGGCCGATAGAAATTGGGCTGGCTACCGAGTACCCCCAGCACAGCACTGCATTACTGATGTTCCTATTTTAGGTTTAAATTATTACCAGTCTATGGTCAAACGAAAAATTCTTGAATGTCTTTAGAGTTTTGTTTCAGTTCTGAATGACCATATACTTTTTTCCTAATTAATATTTCATGGTTGGATTTCTTTGTTCAATGTAAGCATAATTATACTTGTAAATTTAGGTCTGAGATCAAAATAACTAATATCCTAATTTTTTTTCTAAGAGGAAATTAATTTCATTTCTCTGAACTTTGAGCATGAGTGCTTTTTTCATAATAGTAAAAACATGCTATGTGGCAATATCAGAATAAATAAGTACAGATGACTCATGTGAAAATGCTTGCTCATTTTTTTTAACCCTTTGACATTGCTTAAATGTATAACTAAAGGATTCTACATCAACACTGTCTAGTCACTTCACCTGGCCCAAATGGCTGTAGAAACCAGGTCCTTCCCCGTCCTGTTGCGTTACTGGAGGATTGGGTTGGATGTACTGCCCGACTGGTTTTCACATCTCCTCTTTTGTCCTCCACAGTGGGTATCACCACCACGGGGATAAGTGTGCACTGCTCAAGAGTACCGTTAGAAGACATGACTTCAGTGTACCCTTCTTCACAACTGCATGTCCTCATCTGCAGGAGAACAAGAGGATTTCTACTATACATAGAAGGTGATGAGAGCATAAAAGATCTGACTTGAAGAGAAGGCTTTAAGGAAGTACTGTTTTCGGAATTTACTACATGTAATTTGTCTTAGCTACATAAAAAAACACACTTTTTGTACTGTTCACAAATTATTTTAACAGTAGAAATAAGTGCATTCAGAATTGTCTATATCGATAAAAGGAGAGGTCTAGAAATCTTTAGGCCACAAGACATGCTTTTTCTGCAGGGGGGGAAGGGGGGAGGGAGTGGACTTTTTAAGAGGTGGTGGGTGACAATGCAGCTGGCTTGTCTTTCCTAATGAAGTCACACATACCTCACTACAGTACGAGTGGGGTTGACTACACGGTGGGTTACAAGACCTGTCAGCATCAGGCTGGTGCACCACCAAGCAGCCCCCTGCAGAACAGAAAATCATATATTGACAAGTAGCATCTCTTGCAATGATAGAAATACCGTGTTGGATAGACGTGTCTTTGAATCCTGAACTACTCCGGGAACCCCCATGGATTTTTCCGAGGGCGACTGATTGTGAAATACTTGGTTAACCTTGACCACTGCATACCGGAACTTGAGGCCCCTCTTATTCAGAGGAGATAGCAGAGTGCCTGGCACTCAGCAGCTGCTCCACAAGCAGTATTTGTATAGCTGCCACTTTGAAAACACTAACTGCACACGGGCCGTTTCTGTCATGGTCCCCGGCCCCCGCTATTGGCCCAGTCCAACATTAAAAAGCAGATTGAATTTTCCTTTGAAGTTAAATTTTTTTCTTGGCCAAAGAAACAGTTCTTATGTCCCTTGAGATGTTTCTTTAATTTATGTGACTACCACATAAATGTACTTTTTAAAAAAATAATGCATACATAGTTCTTGGAGAAAATCCCTATTCCTGCCAATTCAGGATTTTTGTAGCTGCTAAGTGATGTATTTGCATTATTGTTTAACTTGACATTGCAGCTCTCTGGTTTTTCTTCTTTCTCTTCTTTTCAGGTCTAGTACCAAGTGTACCTAAGTTGTTACAAGTGAGGTTTTAAGATGAGAATAGATGTCCTAGAGAAACAATACTGGTGATGCGCAGGGAACTTAGAGTTTCAAACCATACTTGCTCAGTTGAATAGGATTTTAGGAAAGCAAAGTTTTTCCTCTATTTATGGAATTGATGATCCTCTGGAATTTAATCAAAGATCCTCTTGTTAATTCTTTGCCTTATTTCTCAATAATATAAACTATTCATCAAAAAATTATGATGGGAAAGCAGTTAGTCATTGCAAGCCAATTGCAGTTAAAAGGCCATATTGAGGTTATTATCATGAAACACATGATGAAAAAGAAAAACATCTTGATTTCTAATAAGGACAACTTCATAAAATTAAAGCAATCGATCAAGATAGGTAATATACTTTACATGCTTGTCTATTTCTCATAAAGAGTCTCGTCTCTCCTAAAAGATAGAAGAAGAATGCATATAGAGTTTATCACAAATCATTTACACATTGGCCTTTTTGGTATCAGAGAAAGTATTAGAAAGAAAGAAATACATTGGGTACTTTAATGGATTAAAAAGAAGGTGAACACATGATTTCTACAGGTAAGCCTTTTAAAATTCGACTTACCTTTGCATTGGGGAATACCCCTAATTTTAGTGGGAAAAGAGATTTTAACATATAGAAGAAATGGCAGACAAATATTACTGGCATCCATATTTGGGGAGGAAAAAGAAACCTGAAAATAACAGGACCCTCTGGGGAAACTGCAACGTTCCCTCTGAAGAGTTTCAAGAAGAATGTAGACCTTCATTTTCAACACTTGAGTTGAATGGACCATCTCTATAAGTGCCTTCAAATTCAGAAAATGTATGCTTCCCTTCATAAGGCTCTTTCTCCCCTTAGGCCTCTTACAGTGGTGTGGTTGGAATAGATTCCCCCCCCCCCCCCCCCCCCACCCCCAGTAGATAATACTGTGAGAGAGCAAAGGGTTTCCTGGTAGGTGTCTCTTCTTTGTTATATCTGTGTCCACTGGGAGTTGCTATTATCAATGGTTTCTTGATACAGATTTCTCATGTATAAAATCTTACCTTCACAAGAATATAATTTGATATCCTGTTCCAGCTTTCATAGGGAGGAAATAAGTAATTAGGTTTAAATAAATCCAGGTAATTTAAAATTTAATATAAAAATTGATGCTTTCCAAAAAGCATATTGATCTCTGTTCCTGTTATCTTACTGTATATATTACAGCTAAATTTATAAATGGACATTACTAATAGGCACCCAAATGCACATTACTTTTTATCTCTGCCAGAGGGCAAAACAATGGCAGTAAATCAGCAGGTCCCCCGGAGTAGCTAACTCTCAAAACTCATGTTACTGATACACTACGAAGATTCCTATAGATTAGATCTATAAAAATGTTAAAGGAGAGACATTAGATCTTTGGGTCATATGTTTAAGGTTTAGGTTCTGGTTCTGACCTTGGTTTCTTTCTAGGAAATTTGCAAGGTACATATCTGGAGCCAAGTTTCTCTCCACTTCATAGGGTCCTTGAACCCTTGCATTTACTGGGTTCAGATAAGGAAACTTTTAGTAATCACAGATTAGAGAAGCTCTTTGGTATATTTGGGTCAAAGGACATTTTAGAAAAGTTTTTCATTTGGATTTCTTCTTTGAATATATAATTTTTGAGTGGGGACAGAGTAGGTTAGCTGCCCAGATGTTCTGGGCTTGAGATTTGCCAATAGATCTTACCTATTAATTAATAAAAAACTGAATCATAGATTTCTGAATTCAAGCAAGATATTTGGATTTGTATAATTATATTTACTTGGTAATATTTTTGGTCTTAGTGTATATTATTTTTAAGGTACAGAAACAGATATAGTCCACAAAATACTGATTTTTTTTTAAGCATGTGGTGAGTTATTCACATATAAAATTTCTAGGGAAGACAATCTGAAAATTATAATTTATTGGAATTAGGTAATATTTTAACTAGATTCTAGCAACATTGTCTAAAATGGCTGGATGAGAGAGAATTTGAGAATTTAATCAAAATAATAAAAAATAAAATAGTCATTGGTTACAGTTATACAGCCTAGGTACTGAGTCCCAACCATGTGCTGAGTACTGAAAGAATATCTTTGTTTTCTTAATTATTTGCTTTAACCAACTGCATGTGTAGTACAGGAAGACTTGCAAAAAAACAAAACAAAACAAAACAAAAAAACCAAAAAGAGAAATTGGAAGTTTACCTGTTACATTTATACCATCTGACCTTTGACACCAGACTGTTCGGGAAGAACCCTTCCAAGCACTGGCCATCCATTTATACTCATAACACTGTCCATCTGCAGGGACACAATAAACATGAACAGAAGCATTCTGCTGTCTAGAAGGACAATCATGGGGAAAGAATATTAAGAAAATATTTATAAACAATTGTCAAAGTGGAGTCCATCTCAAAAATGATACAAATGTTAATTTATTGTCCTGAAATTGCCATATAAATGTTATAAAATTCCTGATCTATTCCTAAATCCCATTTCTTTGCCATGGTTTTTATTCTTTTAATGATAATACAGTACAGTTGAACCCTGAACAACATGGGGATTAGGGGCATGTACCCCTATGCAGTCTAAAATCTGTATATACCTTTTGACTCTCCCAAAACTTAACTACTAACATCTTACTGTTGACCAGAAGCCTTACTTGATAACACAAAATATATGTTATATACTATAGACTTATAATAAAGTAAGCTAGAAAAAATGTTACTAAGAAAACCATAAGGGGGCGCCTGGGTGGCTCAGTCATTAAGCGTCTGCCTTCGGCTCAGGTCATGATCCCAGGGTCCTGGGATCGCACCCCACATCGGGCTCTCTGCTCAGCGGGAAGCCTGCTTCTCCCTCTCCCACTCCCTCTGCTTGTATTCCCTCTCTCGCTGTGTCTCTCTGTGTCAAATAAATAAAAATCTTAAAAAAAAAAAAAAAAACCATAAGGAGGAGAAAATATTTTGCACTGTATTCATATTATTATTTTTTAAAGATTTTATTTGTCAGAGAGAGCATGAGCAGGGGGAGGGGCAGAGGGAGAAGGAGGCTCCCCGCTGAGCAAGGAACCCAATGCAGGACTCCATCCCAGCACCCTGGGATCATGACCTGAGCCAAAGGCAGATGCTTAACTGACTGAGCCACCCAGGCATCCCTGTACTGTATTTATTTTAAAAAAAAAACTCTCCTGTAAGTGGACCTGGGCAATTCAAACCTCTGTTGTTCAAGGGTCAACCATATTATTAAAAATTTTAAAAAGTAGCATAGTCTATGTATCATTCTGAAATGTAAATATTATACAGATGAAATATTTCTATGTGGTTTTTTCTAAATGTAGCTATAGTACATTTATTTTAACTGCTATATAGAATTCCACTGTACTAAACTCGACAACTTTTTTTTTTGGTATTTCTTCTCTGGATGGCCTTTTAGGTTGTTTTCAATTTTTGTTGTTAGAGCAATGTCTCCGTGGTCCACCTTGTGCAAGTCTCTTCATGCTTCTTTAAGGTAAATATCTAGAAGACAAACTACCGGGTATCTCCATAGGGATGGCTGAAACTATACTAAATAACTTTTTTTCCCCTCCAAAAAGTGACAATCTGCATATCCACCAGCAGTGAATAAGGATCATCATTGCTTAAGCCTTCACGAACATTTATAATTGCCAGATTTAAAATTTTTGGTTATTTTGGTGGGTGTGGAAGCTATATCGTCATTTTAAATTGTAGTTCTCTATTAATGCTATTAAAGAGTAACAAATGTTTTGGGGCATTTAGACTTCCTCTTATGAGTGTTGCTTCTTTATATCTAGTGGCCATTTTTTATCCTACTGAAATCTATGCCTTTTCTTATTGAATTGTGGGAATTATTTACTCTAGAAGTTCTCAAAGTATGGTCCAGAGAACCTGGGAGACTTTGACATCTTTCAGATTGTGTGTGTGTGTGTGTATTTCAACTACACATCTGTGTGAGTAGAGCTGGATTTTCTTCATATACGTCAACTAAACTAAGATTGCAACAGATTGAGTGCAGAAACAGAATCCAGCTGTCTTCCTTTAAGGCAGATATTATAGATTTGCAAAAATGTAAAACAGGACGTGCTTGTCAAAGTTATTGGTTTTGTTTTCAAAGTTATTTTTCAGGAAGTACTGTTATTATTACATAAAATTGGCTTGTGGTTATTCTTTATCTTTTTGATATAAATTTTTATGTATATATAACTCACAAAAGAAAATTTTGGGTCCTCAATTTTAAGAATATAAAATTGAATCAATTTTAGGGGTGCCTGGGTGGCTCAGTTGGTTAAGCATCTGCCTTTGGCTCAGGTCAAGATCCCAGGCAGGGTCCTGGGATCCAGCCCCGAATGTGACTCCCTGCTTGCTGCTCTGCCTACTTGTGCTCTCTCTGTCTGTCAAATAAATAAAATAAAAATAAAATTGGATCAATTTTATACTCTTGGAGTTTTAAAATTGTCCTAGATACTAATTGTTGTTGTAGAATACTAATCCTTGGAAATTAATTGACTTCACAAATATCTTTTCTAAGGCTTTGGCTTCTCTGTTAACCTTGTTTATGATCTATTACTATGTAGAAGATTTAATTTTTCATCTTTCTCATTTTTGTGCTTTTCATGTCATATTTTGGAAATTCTTCTTGAGTTCATAATGATATTCTCCTATATTTTCTTTAAATGTTTTACAGTTATGCTCTTCACCTTTGGCTCTATAATTTAGTTTATTATCAGTTTTGTGTATGGTGTGAGCCACAAGATAATCTTAAAAACATTATATGGATAACAAATTATTGCAACATTATTTACCCACCCATTACCCTACTGACTTTCACTTCTGTTATGTACGTATAAGAATTTGTTCCTGAGATTCTTTGTTTCATTAGTCTAATTGCTTTATTGTTGACCGGTCACTCTTCTTAAATTATTAATGCTGTAGAGTAAATCTTGAATAAAGCCATGTAAGTCCCTTGACCTCCTCTCCCATTTTTTTCTTCTTGAAATTCTGAGCTTTAATAAATAATTCTGTGATCTTCTTGGTCTTCAACCTCTCCATATGAATTTTAGGATCAATTTCTCAGATCACTTAAAAATCGGTTCAAATTACATGGAATTTATATAAATTGGTATAAAATTGAGATGTAATGATATTGAGGCTTATCCATGAACATGCCTATTTTACTAATGTTTTAGTTAGTTATATGCTTAAATAAGATTTCATCATTTATTTTCTATACATATCTTACATATATTTCTGTTAAATATATTTCTACTTGTAGTTTTATTTTGATTCAATTTTTTTCTAATTAAATTTTATAATTGAGTCTTAAAGATTTTTTATTTTTTATTCAAGTATAGCTGACAAAGTATTATTTCCAGATATATAACATAGTGTTTCAACAATTACAAATATTACAAAACGCTCACCATAATAAGCGTAGTTACCATCTGTCACCATACAAAGTTATTACAATCTTACTGACTACATTCCCCGTGATATACTTTTCATCCCTGTGACTTATTTACACTGTTAATTGGAAATTTGTACCTCTTGATCCCCTTCATCAATTTCACTTATCCCCCACTCTGGCAACCGCTAGTTTGTTCCCTGTACTTATGAGTCTGTTTCTGTTTTTATTTTGTTCATTTTGTTTTTTAGGTTCCACATATGAGGGAAATCATATGGTATTTGTCTTTGTCTGACTTACTTCACTTATAATACCCTCTAGGTTCACCCATGTTGTCTCAAATGGCAAGATGATGACATTCTTTTGTATGGCTGAGGAATGGAATATGGTATATATGTATACATATACCACATTTTTATCCATTCATTTATTGGTGGACATTTAACTTCTATATCTTGGCTATTGTAAATAATGCTGTAATAAACATGGGGTGCATATTTTTTTGAATTAGTGTTTTTTTTTTCTTTTACTTGGGTAAATACCCAGAAGTGGAATTACTGGGTCATATGGTAGTTTTAATTCTTTGAGGAACCTCCATACTGTTCACCACAGTGGCTGTACCAATTTAGGTTCCTGCCAAGAATTCACATGGGTTCCCATTCTCCACATCTTTGCCAGCACTTTGTCTTTTTGAAATTAACCATCCTGACTGGTGTGAGGAAATTCTCATTGTGGTTTTGACTTGCATTTCCCTGATGATTAGTGATTTTGAGCATCTTTTCATGTGTTTTTTGGCAGTCTGTTACCTTCCTTGGAAAAATGTCTATACAGGTACTCTGCCCATTTTTTCATTAGACTTTGTGTGTACTGAGTTGTGTAAGTTCTTTATATATTCTGGATATTAACCCATTATTGGATATATCATTTGCAAATATCTGCTCCCATTCAATAGGTTACCTTGTTGTTGGTTTCCTTCCTGCAAAAGCTTTTTATGTTGGTATAGTCCCGATAGTTTTATTTCTGCTTTTGTTTCTCTTGCCTGAGAAGCCATATCTAGAAAAATGTTGCTAAGGCCAATGTCAAAGAAATTACTGCCTATGTTGGGTTTTTTTTTTTTTTTTTAAAGATTTTATTTATTTGTCAGTGAGAAGAAGAGCATAAGTGTGGGGGGGGGGGAGTGGCAGACAGAGGGAAAAGCAGGCTTCCCGCTGAGCAAGGAGCCTGACACGGAACTTGATCCCAGGACCCTGGGATCATGACCTGAGCCGAAGGCAGACGCTTGACCAACTGAGCCACTTGGGCACCCGCCTATGTTTTCTTCTAGGAGTTTTATGGTTTCAGGTATTATATGTAGGTCTTAGTCCATTTTGAGCTTATTTTTTTGTGTGGCATAAGAAAGCAGTCCAGTTTTATCTTTCACATGTAACTGTCCAGTCTTCCCAGTACCATTTATTGAAGAGACTGTCTTTCCCCTATTGTATCTTCTTGCCTCTCTTGTGGTGGATTAATCATGTAAGTGTGGGTTTGTTTCTGGGCTCTATATTCTGTTCTACTGATCTAGGTGTATATTTTTGTGCCAATTCCATACTATTTTGATTACTATAAGTTTTGTAGTAGAGTTTGACATCTGAGATTGTGCTACTTCCAGTTTGTTGCTCTTTCTTAAGATTGCTTTGGCTGGGGCGCCTGGGTGGCTCAGTTGGTTAAATGACTGCCTTCGGCTCAGGTCATGATCCTGGAGTCCCAGGATCGAGTCCCGCATCGGGCTCCCTGCTCGGCAGGGAGTCTGCTTCTCCCTCTGAC